TTAAAAGTTCTGTGGTATCTTCCAATAATACCACGATTTAAGCGTCTATTTGCTAATGCCACAGATGCAAAGAACTTGAGATGGCATTTTGATGAGAAAATATGTGATGGAAAGCTTCGTCACCCAGCAGATTCTCCTCAATGGAAAACAATAGATCAAAAATTTCCTCAATTTGGTGGCGAGCCAAGAAACCTTCGGCTAGGGCTTTGTACAGATGGAAATTTTACTTTCCACGGCGGTTAAATATAAAACCGCCGTGGAAAGTCCACTTTTCACGGCGGTTAAAAACCGCCGTGTTTTCCTTACCTTTCAATGTCGCCTTTAACAACTTCGCCTTCAAAACCGCCGTTAAAAGCCACTTTTAACCGCCGTTAAAAGCCTTTTTTCTGGTAGTGTATGTATGTATGATTCTTGTAGACTCTCACTTAACTCTTTGCGTGGATTTGTTGTTTAATATTTGTGAGCAAAAGAAGGCAAGTAATTTGGGGGTTTTTTCATGCGCCTACAAGCTTTGTTTTGTCCGATTTATTTTGTATATATAAATGTGTAAAATTTTATCAATTTGAGCTTGATTTAGGTATACAAATTGTTGAGATTGCTAAATAATAAAAAGATGTAGTGGTGTTGTTTCTTACTTAAACCATTTTCAAATATGCTTGTGTGTTGGTATATGCGATGAAATCATGAAGTTTTTCCCCTTTTTTTTAAAGCATGGTTGTATCTCATTTATTGTTGCGAAGCCCACAAGTACTTTTAATTATTTTGAGCATGTTTGGGTTGCTTAGTTGATTAAAAGTTAAAATGTATAGGTTGGTTAAGTGGGGTGTTACAATGCAACCTTAGTTAATGAATTAAGTCTTAATGATTTAGATTTATATTTAAAATAAATAGTTGACATTTTTGAATTTTAATTATTTAATTATATATTTTTAATAGTTATTTATTAATACAGGGAGACTTTTACGAGTTTATGATGATCCAATTTTCCTCCATCATTATGAATTTACTTAAATTCATATGCTTCATAACTTTAGTTATAACTATTTCTTTTCTAATATTTATACTTAACTTATTATATTTGTTTTTCTAAAGGACAAAAAACTATGGAGACTTGTTGTCTTGGAGATATCCCCATGTATAATTGTATAATTCATACATGTGATGAAGATATATTGCGATTTTTTCGATATGACAAAGATTAGACTCAAGTCCAAAATGACTTGAAGATACTCTAAGCAATCCTAATTGGATAATCTAAATCACATATAAATAACATAGTTGACTTGTGCACCATAGTTCGGAAAAATAAAACCTATAGCAATATAACCATTCAAACCAATTTTCACCGATTCTGAGCACTTCATTCTGGTTCGAGCTGATCCTCAATTTAGGCTATGAACCAGACTGAACTTCAAGCCGTTTCATTGCTTTATGTTGAAATTGATGGTCTAGTTTGGTTTTTTATTTCTTGCTAATTATACTCTATGCTATCTCCAATGAAAAAGATGAGACTGGAGTCCAACAAACATAATAGAGAGTAAAAGAACAGATGCATGTACGCGCGGTGAAATTAAAAAAAAAAAAACATAATAAACATGATAGAAGTGCACGATAAGTTTTTAGAGTTTTCGCCCTTAAGGTATGAGAAAGTTTGATTGTAGAAACTTTTTAAAAGGGTCAAGAGTAATTTTATAGCTATAATATTAAATGTTGTTCATTTCATCTTTAACCAATAATTTACAAAGATAGAAAACATTGAGTTTAGAATTGCTTAGGATAGTTTGACAGTTTATTCTTGCCCATTCTTTTTCCTCATAACAACATATACCACCAAAACAGTAATATCAATCTATGTAACCATCCCATTCCATCTAATTCTATTTAAAAGAAAATATCCCAGATACACACTAAAAGTAACACGATGCTTAAGAGGAAGACAGAGAGTGTTTGTCAAAATCATGAAATAGAACATTGAATTATATTAAAAAAAAATTGAATTAGACTGACTCCAAAATTCACCATTCTACAAAATTTATGTAAAACTCTAGAATCCCTGTTTAAGAAAATCAAAATTGAATGAATAAATACACTCCTAAAAAAAAACAAAGCATTCAACTTTGAAGCCACACATATAAAACTTCAGGAAATCAGGAAAACAAGTGAACCATAAATAACCCACTAGACCTCAACACAATGAAAAGAACAAGAAAAGAGCTTTGCTCTGAAAACTAAAAAAAAAAAAACAAAGAAAGAATACATAACAAATATGAATGACGAATATAACTGTTGTCCAATACACAAGTGTTAAGAACCACAAACCCCCCAAAGAGAGAATGAGAGTACGGAAAAAATTTTAGGACATGAATATAAGTTTATAGCAAGATTTCTTTTTATCATATAATTGACCAGAGAAAAGGAAATAAATAAAATATATAATTAAATAGATATAAAATATTTATAAATTTAATTAGATATATCCCAAAATCTACACCTATTTAATAAAAAAATATCTACTTTTATCAGATAAACAGAATAATGGATTGTAAATAGATAGATTATATAGTAACAAATTGATAAGGTACGTAATATTTTTGAATGGTTTACTTATTTTCAGACCCAAAAAAATTAAAATTAAAATTAGTATTTGTTTAATATAATAAAATTTAATATATGGATGGTTTTATCATTTTACTAGAGGATGGTCTTAATCATAGCATACGTGGTGACGTGGGGGGGAAAGTGATGCGGTGCATGTCACTTGTATGTGGCGTTGATCTACTGTTCTTTAAGTGTTTTTATTTTAAAACAATTTGTTCAAGGACTTTAACTTTACTTTTTTAATATGTTGGAATAAATAATTAAATATTAAATTTATTTATTAGATGTTTTTGGCTCAGCATTAAAATATTTATTTTTATCTTTGACATAATTAACTAATTATATACTGATTATTTAACTTACCGCCATGTACGATCAACACCCAAAGCTTTTTGCTGTCTATCAATATGATAAATCACTTTTCAGTAGCGACTTAAGGGTCTTTCAACGGTCACTTTTGTTGCCGCTCAAACTATATTTTCAGCAGTGACTCACTTTGTTATTGTTGAAAAGTATCAATGACAATGACTTGGAGATGACTTTTTGTCACTGCTAAAAACTTTCAGCAATGACTTTTCAACTAATCGCTGCTGAAAGTTTTTTTTTTTTTTGTAGTGGATCAAATTTTAGTAGGTTGAGTTATAAATTAATATTTCTGCTTAATCGAATCTTGCATATTTGGGTTCCTCTAGAATAGCTTTAATGCTTTAAGGTAGTTTTAGGGTAATTTTTGAGTAGTTTTGAGACATGAATTAATGTTTTTGCATATGTATGATTCTTGCAGACTTTCATTAAGAGCTCTTTGCGTAGATTGGCAATTTTATACTTGTGAGCTAAAGGAGAACATCTAGCTCGGAGATTTTTCATGCGTATGCAAGCTTTGGAGTTGTGATTTATTCTGTATATATAAATGTGTAAAATTTTATGAATTTTGAGTTTGATTCAGGTATATAAATGGTTAAGATTGCGAAACAATGCTGGGTTTTTTTAATTTTTTTGAGCCTTCCGTTACACGGCCTCACCTATCAACCAAGTGGTAAAAAATCTTGGCTATTTACATTTTTCTCCGGGAATAGTATCAAATATAACAAAAAAGCTTTGATTCTAAAGAGTGCATCTCATAAAATAGTATAGATACATTGAGCGTGTATGGATACCTTGATCTCTTCAAATTAGCATTTATTGATTATGAGCCTATAAATAAAGGTATGACACAAACCGTATTGTACATGCATCTATATGTATCTAATTCAAAGCTAATGAAAAGTAATGTCCACCATTTCTCATCTCCAATATTCTCTCTTGCTCTTGTTGATTTGATTATACTCCATTAGTTTTATTTTTCTATTTTTTAAGCATTTATTTGTGTCTAGAGAAGTTAGGACATTTATCTATTTCTTTGTTTAATTAGTCGTGACTTACAAATATATATATATATATATATATAAACCTTGTTGTATCCTCTTATACAGTGCAATTTATTAAGTGGAGAAATCAAGAACTCAGAAACATGAAGAGTATCAATATATCTGCTATTATTCTAGCAGCACTTCTTCTCATCTGAGGCTTGTTGTGCTCAAAGAATTAGAAAGGTTGATTTTCTTCTTCGAATAAATGCTTCGAGTTCTTATAGTTTTAATTATTTAAAAATATTGGTGGATACGGGTAGTAATAAGAGAGTTAAGGGAGAGTATGGGAGATTTTGTGTGACCACAGACAAAATGCCAAATTGTAATGAGCAGAAATGTGATGATTTCTACAAAAGGAAGTTCCCAAAATCCAAATTTGGTTTGATGGCAACTCGAATTTGAGCTCCGGACAGTCCTAAAGTTTGTATTTGCCTCAACCTTTGTTAGCCAAACAAGTGGAACCTAGCCTTTCTTTTCCTCTTATGAAATCATGTAATGCAAGAAATTTAGTAATATCCCTCCGATTCTAAATATAAAACCCACATTATAGTGTAATTTATACTACAAAGTAGATCTTGTATTTAGGACTAGAGGAGTACTAGATATTAGACATCATATTAAAATTTATATGCATAAAAGTGAGAGGCTTGGATCAAATGAGTAATTAGACTCAATTTTGTTTGGTTTCTTCATTATCTTTCATTTTTTTGGTATCCCATGTAATGAATAAAAGAAGCTCTTGTTCCCACCTATGAAGACTTTGTCATGAACATGTTCAAGATCTTTCTCTAATCTCTTTTTTTTTTTTTTTCCACTTAAACAATTTAAAACCCCCTCCCCCAGCCTCCCCATGGGGGGGGCCCACAAACCCATACTTCACATACACCCCACTCACTTTAGTCCTTGTTCCCGTCCTGTTAGGGGAGGGGACCCACAAACCCATACTTCTCTATGAGAGGAGGTGTTAGATGCCATTGAACCAAGAGGTTCTTAGCAAAATTTTGGGTTAGAGATCCACAAAAGTGGGCAGCCTTAACCGTGGAGCGTGATCATAGGAAAGCCTAAAGGTTGTTCCCGTCCTGTTAGGAGAGATGCCAACTGTCCTTCCTTTCTTTCTTTTTTTTTCGAATAATACTGAATAACATTACTTAACAAAAGCAAACAACAACACCAAGAGTCTAAACTATCAAGATCCATCCTTTAGATCAAAGGTGGAGATTGATCAAAGGATCAAATAAATGACATGTGTCCTCATGTGTAATTAAGACTTGTCAGTCCATATTGATTATGACCCTAGTGTCGTATACAATATCTCTTAATAGGTGCCCAAGGTCACAACCATGAATACAAAAGTTAATGGCCTTTACGCAATCTGACATCACTAGGATTTCCCTCTACCCTCTATTCTAGCACATTTGCAATCCATTAATGATCCCAATCAATTCTGCTGCTGCCGGTGGGACTGAGGTTAATTTCTATTGGCGTCGTCCGAACTCAAACCAGAGACATAAGTGATAATAATCAATGTTAAAACATGAAAAGATTTATGTACATAGTTCATTTTATGTATTGATATATAATCTAATGTTACATAGAGATATTGTAGGAAGATTATGCAACATTTGTTGGAATTAAGTAATTTTTTTAGCTTTATTAATCTCCCCCAAATTAATTAAGTAATTCTTATACCAAGAGCTGGGAGAGTATTATTTAGAATTCATTTAATTTAGGTATATAATTTCAACCACTTACAATCACAAACTATCCCAAACAAGTTCAAATAGTATAATAAAAAATAATTTATATTCAAATAAGTTGTATAAGAATTTCGGCAGAATGCCCCATAAAGACCTCCCAACCACTTGATAACTAAAAATCTTTAATCAGTTTTAGATAGAATAATTCCAGCTACGTAACTTTATAAATCAAAAAATAACCAATAATTTTATAAGCTAAAATCACTAATCTAAGTTTAACTGCATTGGGTAATATTTGGCCGAAACATAAATTAATACCAAGCTCAACAGTGAGAGCTTAGATATTGAAATTTCAAAATAAAACCAACTATAGTATTTATTTATTTTCAGACATAGGACCATCAATGGAAACTTTCAAAGAAAAGAAATTTCAGAAAATTGCAATGATATTTGCAAACCTTTTTTCTGTATTATTTTTTCAGCTGTGGAATTTATGCTTCTGTGTTTCTGGATTCCATATTCAAACTGTAGGGCGGTGGTTTTAAAAATAATAATACTAACAAATTATTTTGACCAAATTACTAATTTTTTTTAACTTACCAAATTTGTATATGCAAATATGCTACACAATTGAGGTGGTTAAGGCATTATTAATTACAATTTACAGTATAATAGTAATATCTTTTCTTCCATTCACCTGAAAAAAAACTTCAGCAAAGACTATTAGTTTTATAAAATATCTTATACTTGCTAATTATTCAATGAAAATATTCTGAAATTGAAAGGAAGATAACACGTACCTAGTTAAAAAAAATTTTAAAAAATTCCTGGTTGCAATCTTGCGTAGTGAGTATCTTAGATATCTCAGATTAAAAAAGTATCTGAGACATATTATATATTATAGTTTACTTCCATGTATTTTTAATTTAACAAAAAGGGTATATAAATATTGAATTTCAAAAAACTGAAATGATAACTAGTAAACTAAAACTTCAAACTAAAAAATCTAAAATTTGAATCTAAGATAGTTTAAATGAACACTTTTTTTAATAAAGAATATCTGTTAATTTGGTTGAGATTTATTTTTTAAAAAATATAATTCAAAATGTATTTTTTTTTTGTGGGGGATATTTTATTGGATAAATTATTATTAAATATTTAAAAAAAATTTAATTTTACAGAGATTTAATTTTATTTAAGAAAGAAGATAATTCAAAAGATATCTTTAATTTCTAGACATATAGCATCCTCTAAATGAGTTCGAAGACTCTATAAATAAGAGGCTGGAAAGAAGGCTAAGTCACACCAAACCCCAAACACAACATGGTGAAGAGATATACAATTTGCGCAAAGTCAAGTAAGTTCTCTATTCTCTTTGGTTTTTGTTCTTTTAACCGTAAGCTCTTTACTCTCTCATACTCATAAATAATTAAGGAAAAGATTTATTTTGCTCAAAAGTTTATACTAAAAGCTAAATATGCTTCATCCAAACGTCTTTTGACAAAAGTTTATTTTGCTCATCAAAAGTTTAATAACTTCGAAAATAATGTTTTTTTACCAAAAACAAATCATACACCGAATGGGAAAAAAACTTGATTCGAATAAAACTTCATATTAATGAATTTCAAAGAATTTAAACGACAATGTTGTTGTTGATATGATCTAATATTCTGTATAAAGTATTGACTCTTTACTTTTATAAAAAATAGCATCAAAATTATTTCCTTTTTTATCTTTTAAAATTCGTGAGTAGATTATCAGTAAGTTAAATGTTGGATTTATCATAGACAAAATATTATAAATTCAAATAAAAAAGTGAATTTTAATTTAAGATATTTAATTAGAATGGGTTGTGTTTAAATAACCAATATCCGTATTATTTTTAGTTTGGCCAAGTTTTAAATTTTTGAAAGATAAATAATTCATAACTTTTCTTATTGAGAGATACCATATTGCTTTATTGAAGATTGAGGATTCCAAAATTTAGATGCTGGATATGACAGAAAATTCATCACCATATCTAAAACCTATAGCAAATTCGAGGACATTATCTAATTTTCTTCTTTTTTTTAATAACTTTAGCTAATCTTTTCTAATTTAACTTATTGAAAATATGTATTAAGAAATAATTAAGAAAAAAATATACTCATAACCAGTTATTTCAAGATCATTTGCCCATCAATTCAATTAAAATAGTAAACAATTCATCAATTCCCTCACGAAATATGTGCGCCCTATCCAAATCACCTAATCCAAATAAGCAAATAAAAAAGATATTATATATCTCCTGATTTAAGAAATAACTAATTATCTTCTCAAAATTTAAACCATTACATAATTTATATCCTTTATCTTATATCTAGTTAATTCTTCATTATCTCTTTATCCATTCTTATAAATATATCCTTCTCCTTTTCTGTTCCACAGCGCATCAATAATAACTTCCTCACAACATCATGACATCCTCTTACGTTTCAATTTCTGAAGCCTTAGCCGAAGATACATTTGATATCAGTTTTACCATTGTCCAACGTGGGATTTCACCAGGCACAGGATCCCTCCCAATAACATCCTTTGAACTATTTCCATCTCCATTCACTATGCCTTGTGAAGAATTAATTCGAGACGTTCCGAGGTTTCTTCGCTCTAACGCAGCCGATTATCTTTCCCAACACGATTTCGAGTCACTCGCATCGAAAATCATATCTTATTACCAAGAAATAATCCAACGTGCCTCCATTCCTCCATCATTAACTCTTACTCATCATCGCTTCATACCCTTAATTGTGTATCTTCATGTCAGTACTTCTGATGACGATGATCACGGCATAGTACCTTTTTCTTTTCATCTTCAAACTACCGCTCTATATGCAGATAATGAGTACATGACATATATTGATGATGATGATGAGACCTATCATTCCATAGAGCAATCCATGCAACAACATTATGATGATCATCAAAGTACCTTTCTATCTGGAGACCATTATCATCGACATATGTCGGATGATGAGGAGGAGGATGACGATGATGACGAGTCAGCAGAAATATATCAAGTCATTGAGCAATCTATAGAACATCTGTTCATAGTTCCTGCAACTCAAGAGGCTATAATGTCACTCAAGAAGCTAATGATGTCCAGTGATGAGGCAAAGGGGAGTCAATGTAGCATTTGTTTAGAAAATTTTGATGATAACGTAGACGAAGACGATGACTTTTTAGCATTACCTTGTGATCATTTTTTCCATAGTGATTGTATCGTAAAGTGGCTAAAAACAGGCCATACATGTCCGTTGTGTCGCTTTGAATTGGCTGTAGACTGATTTCCTGAATAAGATATGTAGTTTTCTTTGCATTTTTATGATAAAATTTCATAATTTAATATGTATTGGATATATATATTCTTTGGTTGTTTTCAGAATCAATTAAACTTCTTTCTATTTAATTATATCCGGATCTTCAATGGCATGGGGACGAATGCTTCGCAGATTTTAAAAAATATAGCAAAAAATTTAGTTCAATAAAATAATGAGAGACATAACATGTGGAAATAAGTAAAGTATCAATTAGGACCTAACATTTTAGCAAAAAAAAATTGGGATTTAATTTAAGTTTTCAAATAGATGAGAGGCAATTATCTTTAACTCTATGTTTGGTATTAGGGAATCAGAGGAAAGCGAACCGGAAGAAAAATTTTAATAAATTCAATTTAAAAAATTGAAGAAGTAAAGTTAAAAGCTTTTAATTAATTTTTAATTTTTTTATTTTACATCTTTTCTTTATCAAAATTCATAACCTCAGTCATTCAATTTTTTAAATCAAACTTATTAAATTTCTTTTCATTCCCTCCAATTTTTCGTATCAAACGCATTGTATGTTTTCAAAACCCCAGCGCGCCTGAATATGGGCCTGTCGGGCCCACTTTTATCCTAACACCCACTATCTATGAGCCGAAGGAAAAGTCCAACAACTTCAAAAAAACAAAAGGCGAAACGACAAAGCCCAAACAACCTCCAACGCCTCTCTGGCTCTGTTCATCTTTCCGTCTCTCTCCGTGACGATCTCCGCCAAGTAGAGTAAAATTCGAACATTGATGGACTATTCGTGATCTCTTCTTCTGGCAAATTAATCTCTCAGAGGGTTTCTCTTTCTTTCTCTCTGAACATGGACGAAGATTTGCTTAAGCGAAACACCGATTGCGTCTATTTTTTGGCTTCCCCCCTCACTTGCAAGAAGGTACGTCGTTCTGAATGCTCTATCGTGTTCTTGTTTGCGTTCTTTTTCACTCGTTTAAGTAATTGATTTTTCTTTTTCTCATAATTATTTGTTAATCTACATTTCGTTGTGCGGGTCTGCAATGGCGCTTGTGGTGCCAATCCTGGATGCTTCTTACGTGCCTATTTTTGAATTGGTTTGCTTCAACCCTACAGTTCATGGATCTTTGGTTGCTTTTGTTCGTTCTCTCATTGCATTGTTTGCCTCCGTAATTCTGGTCGAATTACGTTCATTGTCGTTGTTATTCAGAACTAGAATAATGCTTGTTGTTCAGGTTTTAAGCTGCTCTCTTTCTTATTCTCTCTGCTGTTCATTTTTGTGGTTTTATTAAGTGAATCGCTTTCTAGAGTTTTATATCGGAATTGAGTACGGCAAAACGGTTTATTTATGTATTTATTTGATTTTGTTTTTCAAGTTTTAGCGGATTGTGGTGTCTCGACCCCAAATAACACTGACTTTTTTTTTCAGGGGGTTGATTGTGAGTATCGGCATAATGAAATTGCGAGGCTAAACCCAAGGGATTGCTGGTACTGGTTATCTGGGAACTGCCTTAATCCAACATGTGCTTTTAGACATCCTGTGAGTTCATATCTTGCTGTTATTTCATTATCTGACATGTTTGTTTGGATTTGCATCGTTGATTGTAAATGCGTTTGTGCATGTTTAACTCTGTTACCTCTGCATAATTGCATACATTGAGCTAATTTTGCAATCTACTGTATGTATCGTACAGCCTTTGCAAGGTTGAGGCGATTTTCCATATTCACTTAATTAGATTTACTAGGCAATGATAAAAACCTTGAAATATAGTAACGTAACAAAATGGCTGAAATTACCTTTTCCAGCTTAAAATATTGTGGCTGCCGCGTAAAATTTTTTGTTAAAGATTCAGTGGTGTATTTTATGTATACAGTTATGCGCGCATAATTGTTGGCAGAAAATTACTTATTATTTAGTTGTTACCACCTTTTTAGCTTATGATCTGTTTAGTTACTGGAAGCTTAGCTAAAGTTTCTGATGACTGAGTTGTGGTGGCAATTTCCACGTTAACAAGTTCTTTTTTTTTTTATTTTTGGGCAAGGGTTAAGGCTGCAATTCTTTTTATACAAGTTTAGACCTATGAGAGATGGAGCCATATGGTCTCATTGTTATATTACGCTGATTATATTTGCCTGTGTGTGGTCAAAAAACAAATTTCCATAATCTTTTATATATATATATATATATATATATATTCTCCTTGAGCATGTCTCCATCTGTTTCTTTGAGTTAACTTAGAAAGAAAGAAAGAAGGGTTGCACATGGCACGCATAGTTAAGAAAGATTAAACTCGAAATTAAAACTCGTTTGTGCGTCATGTGGAGAAAACAGAAGAAAATAGCAACAGAATAGAGGAGCAAATTGAAGTACTTTAGTATATTTTTATTAGTCACTTTTTATGATTTTAGTTTTTCTTGTTTGGTATATGTAAGCAGCTTTGTAGTTGAAGGTTTTGTTTGAAAATAGCAGTGCAGGGCTGCAAGCATAGGGTGATGCCTGTTTGGTATTTTGAGAGGCTTGTTGAATAAGAAGGCTAGAAAATTTGCTTTTGCTATGATACATCACGTTTGTCATAAAATTTTATTTTTCTGACCTCTTTGTATACAGCATACCGTCCATCTCCTTGTATAGAATTAGTTTGAGTTTAATATGGGTTATATCCTAATCCTACTCAGTACCCATCTCCTAAATAATTTTGATTTTATTTGGCTGGACAGATTTGAGGATTAAAATTGCTAAAGTTATGCGTAGAAAGACAATCAATTCTTTACATCATTGATATACTATAAAAATACTTGCAATTTACCCCCTTTCCCCCCGGGGGGGGGGAATCCGATTGATTCCATTTTACTTAACTGATAATAATTGGTTAACAATTTACTCTTGCAAATTTTGCAGCCATTGGAAGGGCATACTGGAGTGCCATCTGAGCCTACACAATCTTCTTTACCTGCAAACAAGACAGTTCCCTGTTATTTTTTCTTCAATGGATTTTGCAATAAAGGTGACAGATGTTCATTTTTGCATGGGCCTGATTATAGCTCTTTTCCCGGTAAGGCTGGGAAGAACGACTGTGGAAGTAATGATGCCCTGCCTTCAGAAAATAAAACGTCATCTGGAAATAAAGCAGGTGTAGCAATGACAACTGAGACATGTCCTGATCCATCTGAAATTGCCCCAAAGGCTCTGCATAATTGTAAAATTGAACCTGTAGAAGATCCTCAGCGATCAATACTAAAAAATCTTAAACAGCAAAATACTTCACCAGAGATATCTGCTTATGAATATAAAGAAGCCACTGTTATAAGGCCTGACCCTGTATATCCAGATAAGGACTTTATACATGGCATTTCCCATATGTGCACTGATCAGAGTCCGGATGAGCGAGTGCATAATCACATGGAACCTGAGGAACGATTGGAATCGCCCCCTGGATTTGATGTTCTTGTTGATGATGAAATGGAGAGCCCTACCTATGGGGATGATTCTGAATATTTACCAGTCGACAGAGAATACCAGGAATTGAATGGGCAGTACCTGCAGTATGAATTTAAGGACACTGTTGAGTATGATCCCGAATGCTCTGAAGCTGAAGCTGATATTTTGTATGAAGAGATGCATGGTGGTTACAGATTTATGGATGGTGATCATATTCTTGCTGATGACAGAAGAGTTCCTGCTTTTTCCAGAGAGAGAATCATAGACTCTATATTGTCCAGGAAGAGGATTCGGATGCCAGCTGAAATGACTGCTTGTAACAGAAACTTAGATCTACGAGACCATCTGAGGAGACGAAGGGAAATTAATGGTGGACCTGTTACAGGCTTTTTAAGAAGACGTGAATCATCTTGTATGGTTATTCAGAACCGAGAAAGGCTAAGAAGACATGGTAGTTTTGATCAGAGGCTTAGTAGAAGATTGACGTCTGCGGTGGGATTTAACACTATAGCCTCAAATGGAGAGGATGAAACTCGTTCAATTTCTAATAGGCACAGGTTATTTAGGCACCCTCTGCAACATTCATCAAGGAAACCGCAGCATTATAGAGAGAACCGGGGTAAACGGCAGTTTGTTCCGTCTAAAATCTTCAGGAATCCATTTTCAAAGCAAAGGCGATATACGGCATCTACTGACATCAGATTTCACGGACCAAAGAGTCTAGCAGAAATCAAAGAGGAGAAGGCGACAGCTGCAGAAAGAGGGCATTTCAATAGTACTTCAACTGACTTCCAGGATCCCAAACCTCTAAGTGAAATCCTCAAGGACAAAAAGAGGTTGGATTGTGGGTGATATGGTAATCCCTTTATCAACTGCTTACCGAGATTATGATTAATGATTTTTAGAGACTAGTATTTTAGCAGAAATTGCTTTGTAAGGACCCTGTGATAATCCAGGGAGTTGAAGGAAGATAGTGTAGGGTTCATGGTGGAGTTTACCAGTGCTTGGCTCTTCCCCCCCCCCCCCCCGGGGTAAAACCTAGTTGCATATTTAAATTGGAGCAGGAATCTCAAGCCGAGATTGGGTTACTACTGATTGACATGTTGTTTTGTGAACTGAGCCTTCTTGGTATTTCTTGTACAGGTCTGCTTATAAATTGGCTTCTTGATGGATGCTTTTGTACCGTAGCTCTCTATGAGTGCAACTAGCGTTTACTTGGCGGTCGTTATTGATTTCCCCTTCTTCTTCTTTTTTTCCCCTCAATATAACTATTTGGTATTCTGGCTTAGTGGGTTTTTTCTGTCCATAAGCTCAAATGATTACTCCTTTTTTTTTGGCCATCAAATAATTACCCTTGAGGAATATTGATAGCATGTTTGGTTCATTGAATCTTAGGGAAGGCAATGCAATATAATGGAATGATGATCACATGATTTTGTTTAATAAAGAAAGATATGCATACGCATAAAAATGTTTGATTGGATTACAAATAATGAGATAACATGTTATAGAAAATATATGGGTTTGTTTGGATTAACATTCTTTTGGGCAAAATGTTTGGACTAGCATTTATAAATGATTTTATGAATAAGTTAGTTTGACCAACTGAAATTTGTTTGGATGATATAAATAAAAAAAATATAAATTTTTAAAAAAATTGATGTATTCATGGAATAAAAAAATACGTGTAAATATAAAAAAAAATTATAGAAATCTAAAGGCCATTTAAGGTATATGGTAGAGGTAGACAAATTTGCGTGACGATAATAATATTGGACGGAACAGAATTCTTCATTTTTTTTTAATGTTTATTGGCAAAAAATGATATATTTTTTTAAAATTTTTGATTGAGTTTAGGCTTAGTTAATTTGAATATCTTAGCGGATTTTGTTCGATTTTAAGGACATAAATACCCATAAATCATGAGAGACTAAAATAATTAAAAATATAACAAAGATTATATATAATTTGTAAAAAATAAAGTAAGTAAAACAAGAGAGAAACAAATGGGAAAAGTCAATAGAGTAGTAAAGATAGTAGAAAAATGCTTCTTCTTCTCACTCGTAAAGTCATAAGTCAATATAAATAAAATATCTTATTTATAGATAAGAAAAGGAGGAGGAAGCGGTATCACATCCCCCAAATACTGCATGAGCATTCCCCACTCATCCCCCAACCCCCAAAACCGGAATGTGGATCCTGTTCTTGACTAAATTTTTTTAAGTTTTTCTTAATTTATTAAGCTACGCATTTTAATTCAAGTATATAATCTTGAATAAACTAACTTCTGATGAGATATACAAGAAAATGTTTGCATCGAAAATACATATAAATATCGATAAGAAATATATGTATATATAGAAAATTAAATTATGACATTTATTTTTGCATAATAAATTGTGTAAATTTAAAACAAAAAATTAAGATTCAAAATCTAAAAAAATTACATAATCTGCCTTTTGTTTTATGATATCTTCGCTTTCAATTAATTTCTTAATATTTCAGCATTCAATTTGTTCAGGCGACGCAAGCAGGCATAAGCTTATTTTAATTTTTGTTCATTTTTCCTTCAACTCTTTTTAGTTGACTATAAATTTTTATAAGAGATTTGGAAGTCTCATAGACTAGAATTCTTAAATAATTAAAAGCTTGGGACCATCAATAATTAAATACACACACACAATCTTATCCTTTGAATCAAAATTTTTATTATTAAGAAACTTTCATGATTTATGCCACCTTTTGGTTAAAAGTTATTTGCTTCAATTTGCCCTTACGATGTCAAGAAAGGACCACCACATGGCCTCAAACTGAAAATTACTTTGATTGAACAAATTTATCACTTTAATAAATGGTAAAGTCTACAAAAATGTTAATTCTATGAAAATGAATATAAAGAAAAGGCATCATAGAGAAAATTATATTTTTAATTTCCATAATGTTATTTGACTTTTAATAATGCTTATAGTTTAAAATTTGTTATTTGTTTTTAATTTATTCCTTGTTGTTGTCTCTCTGTTACCTTATAGCTTAAAAAAAAAATTTTTTATAATTATAACTGAAAATTTTTCTTATACATTAAATTATTTTTTATTTTAAAAAACCCAATTAAATATAATTTTGATTCAGATATAGTCTCAACTCTCAAGTTTATTTGAACAAGTAAATAATTTGGGAGGTTTGCTATCCGCGACGTTGTGAGAAGTCTACTGAGCAAGTCAACTATTTTTTAATTATTCACCTAACTATATAAAATAAAATTAAAAGTAAAAATAACAATAATTTTATGGATAAAAAAATTCTTCTATAAAATAGCAGAAAGATATAGTTATGATGAGCAATGATGACATCATAATCCCCGTTTACAATTGGAAGACATCTTTATTAAAACTTTTTATGTTTTAATTTATAAGAATTGGCAAGTCTGATTTTTATTTTTTGACAAATTGATACAATTTGTAAACACTTTTATAGTATCAATAAAAATTACTAGGTGAGTCTTTGGGGTAAAACATATATTAATTTTAGTTCTTAATATAAGACTTAGTTGATTAATCTAAAAAGATTAAGAAAATTAAACAAATTACTTTAAATATTTATAATTATTTTTCTTCAAATGAATTTTCTTGACTTATAAACTAATATATAATATAATATAATGATTTACATAAGTATTTCAAATAGGTCACGTAACATAACTATAATTAAATTATTATTTAGTTTCATTAATCTTCCTAAATTAGTCTGAATTTTATATTAGTGACCAGAAGTAACATATTGCAAGCATATGACTCCTCATAAGCAATATAGTTTTGAAAAAAAAATATATCATTTCCACAAGAATTAATGTAAAGGAGGCTAAAAATAATGCAACAGAGTTTCTATTTAGGTTGATCGAAATTATTTCAAGGTTCTTCAAACACAACAGAGAAAATTTTGAGAATTAGAGTGCTTGACTGCACATCAGATGGGTGTGTGAGTGTGTTAGTGTGTATAAATAGGACATTCGAGCTGTTTGGATACCACCCGCGTTAGGTGGTTTTCCCTTCAGTCTCTGGTTTGAGGGGGAAAAAAAAAAGAGTGCTTGACTGCAACTAAAATTAAATGTAATTTTGACTTCAATAATTATGGAAGCTAGGATTTTTTTCTCTCCCTTTATTATATAGAAAAACTTAATTAATCACTTCTCAACTAGAATTTTGATGAAAATATGTTAATTTAAAGTTTTAAGGCAATTGAACAAGCTTTCTCAAGACAACATTAAATTTCTACTTTTATTAAAATGCACAGTCTCTTGATAAAATCATAAAAATTAACAATAAAAGTACGAAGTTTAATAATTAAACTTTAAGTTAAGCACGACTTTACCCAAGTTTTACCCTATCAGCTTCTCAAGCATAATCCAAATAAACAAATCAATCACAATGAGGGCTAAAGACTTAGAAATATTAAGCGCAACATAAAACCAACACATAAATGTCATTAACTACTAAAAGAGATGAATAATTAAATTTTAATCTAAACAAAGATTTAAAATAATCTTAAAATAAGTTTATTAGCCACCTACGTTCAGAAAATTAAAGAGCCACAACTATGCATAATAATCACACTACAAGAAAATGTTGAAGTAGCAGCGGAACATTTCTAGCGGTTCAACAAAACCGCTAGAAATTCCAAATATTTCTAACGGTTTTTCTAAAAACCGCTGCAAAATACAGACGGTTTGACCATTGCCCGCACATTTCTAGCGGTTACCACCTAACCGCTAGAAAGTTAGAGCTAGAAAATCCCCCGGGTTTTGGCGGGAACTTGGCGCCAAATTTGTAGCGTTTATTTTCTAGCGATTAAGGCCAATAAACCGCTAGACACTGAAAATTTCTAGCGGTTGATATATGAACCGATAGAAATATTTTTCATTCCCCGAGGAGTTTAGAAATTTCTAGCGGTTTTGGACCGAACCGCTAGAAATTTCTGCCCATTCCCGAGGCACTTGTGACCGTTGGGAATAGAAATTTCTAGCGGTTCGGTCCAAAACCGCTAGAAATTTCTAGCGGTTTTGGACCGAACCGCTAGAAATTCTCGGTCTATATAACCCCCTCCCCCCACTCTCACTTCTTCAATCGTTCTGAAAGCGAAGCTCTGCAGAATTTTCTCCACAAACATATTCGAGTTCTGATTCAGTTGCAGATCCTTATTTTCAGGTAAAAATAGTAATTTATTGATAAATAATTTTTATTTTATTTAATTTATTATGTTGTAGCTTATAAATAATTTTTCTTTTTATTTTATTTATAAATAATTACTATTTGTTGTTATTAGGATGACTCGTCGACACGGGAAAGACCCAGTTGATCCTGAGAGAGCTGGACCCAGTGAGGTTCATCATGATGCTGGTGAGCCATTCCCTAGCATTCATGACTACGATCTTAGCGAAGAGGATATCCTCAGTTTTATGGAGCAGGATGATGTTGAGCGGATTGAGGAGGCTCATTTTACTGGGGATGAGCAACCCCATGCTGATGCTGATGCTGCTGACGAGGAGGAGGAGGAGGAGCAGGATCAGGGGAATGAGTATCCCCAGGCTGCGCAGCGTCCTGCTCCGAGACGTCAGGCTGGTTATGAGGTGGAATTTGTCGGTAAGTATTTATTTAACTTTTTAAAATTTTGATCAGTATTTAATTTATATAGAAATTGTATTAATTTATTGATATATAATTTATTTCTTAATTAAATTTTGCAGACACTGAGGGGAACAGGTCCTATCGGAGGCTGACAGCCAGAGAGCTGTCTATGATGACGAGCGGACGAGTGGTTGTGCCGCTCAATGAGTTGGGCCAACCGACGAAGAAAGGTGGCCAGTTGTACAACAAGTACGTGCGCCTCCTTGGTCAGCAGTGGACGCTGTTCCCCATCTACGTGCAGGACTGGAAGAAGATCACCGCAGACAAAAAGCAGCAAGGCTGGGAAATGATGAAGGTAATATAAAATTGTTATTTATAATTTTTTTTAATTTAAATAAATGATTATATATTTTGTTTTCAAATAATTTAATTGTTTGATTATAATTTTTTATTTATTTAATTTGTTTGTTATTTATAATATTTTTAAAAGTAGTTAAATGAATATATATATTTTTTATTTAAATTATTTAAAAGTAGTTAAATGAAAATAATTTGTTATTGATTTCATTAATTTATTACTTATAATAATTTTAAATTTA